CGGGGCCGACGTCCCTCAGGGCCAGGAAGGCCCGCAGCCTGGCCTCCAAGTCCGGGGGCCTGCGGCGCGGCTCCCGGTAGGGCCCGGCCATGGCCGCCCGCAGGTAGGGGACGAGCTCGCAGCTCTCGGCGAACCGCGCCATCTTCCTCCGGTACGCTTGACGCTCCGGCGCCGGGCTCCGGGGGTTGTGCGCTGCAAGAGGTGAAGCGGTGGCTCAGTGTCCCCGGCAGCTCCGTGCCGGTAGCCGGCACAAACTCTGTGCGGCACCAGGTCTACCCCTGGCGTTTCTGTCCGCGGGACGTAAAAAACCGAGAGCTGACTAGTATTTCAGAGGAGGAGGGAGATGTCGAGGCCAAGAACTTTGCAGTGAAGATATTGCTGTTTCTTTTCTTTCTTACCTTTCTGCCCTAGGCAGTGTTTTGGCGTGTATTAGTACCGAGTGCCAGTCCTCAGAGTGTGCTTTGTTTGAGGCAAAGGGCAAGGAGTGATGTAAGACGGCCGAATCATAACCGTTTTTTCCCTGTAGATGGTACTTTATGTCTCATTGTAAAAAACAGACAGCATGAAGAACTATGCTATGAAACACTTAAGCCCACCAGCTTTAAATTGTAGGCAACTGCGTTTAGCAGCTTCTGAGTGATTTTTCAAGCGTAGCTGTATGTAGAGCTCTTACAGGAGTCAAGTCTGAAGGGCACTGAATTGCTCTAGGGAGCCATGGGGTAACTCTCCGCATTTATGATTGAAGATGAGAAAGTCTTTAGGTAGAAATAGGATGTAAAAAACTTCCAGGGGACCACAACGTGAAGCCCTTTGATCAAGTTTTTGATCAAGGATGGTGTGACTGCTCTGAAGAGACACAGAACAATAAATAACACTATATTTGCAAAGGAGATTTTTCAGTGTACTGGAATGCTGTATCTTCAAGTTGGAAACAGTTCTACCCAGTATTAGAAGAAAAAAAACTTAATTTCCTGGATTCTTATGGTCAAACTGTTTGTCACTGCATGAGGAGATTTGTGCACTTGCATAACCTTTCCAGTTCATCATCCAATGCTGATAATGATTTAATGATGCAATATATGAGCAAAGCATTCCTAGCATGGACATCATTATGTTAGCAAAGCTGTGCTAACAACAGAATGAAAACAGTCTTTGTGGATGAAACAAACTACAGTAGAAAAGCAGTTTTGCTGGCTTAGGAACTGTACGTACAGGGGCTTATCATGTGCCTACACTGTTCAGTGGTCTTCCTTAACAAAGCTATGCTAGCAAAAATCTGTGGTAGACCAAGAAAATTCTGGAGGGTCTGAAAACTGCATGAGCAAACACAGCATGTGAAGAACTTCAGACAAATAATAAAGATTGCTGTTGTCTAAAAGAATAAGTAAGAATCAAAAATAACAAAAGGCAAGATAAAATTCACCCACTGCACAGGCTGGCTTATAAAAAGCAAAACTGGTGGATTGAAGAAGTGGTGGTCTTGCTCCAGATATCTCCAGCGGTACTAGAATCCAGACTGAAGCTACAGCAGAGCTGCAAACAAGGCTGTTGACATCCTGAACGCTGGCATTATTTAGGCTGATGGCAAACTATTAAAAATTATTAACTGCAACTGCTATCTTGGACTGCAAACAAACAAACATTCTAAAAAATAGCAGATATGAACACAGGAGACAAAGCCTGAGCAACTTTCCTCAGTGAAGGAGTAACTCTGGTAACTCTGTGAGATGTTTTACTTTATCATTAATTTGTGGGCCAAGTACAAACCACCTAGTTTTAATTTTGGACTCTGTATTATCTGTGTTATGGAAAAGTAAGGTGGTTGACTGGACTGTCAATTAAATAAAAAAAGAAGTTAAAAATAATCAACATGCTGATACTGAATCACATTGAGATATTCCCAAATAATTTCATGAATAAGAAGACTGATAACATTTCGTTTATCTGTGCTAAAAACTTAAAAATGTAATTAAATCTGCATAGATGTCTGTTCTTTCGTATTGTGTAATTTAGTGTATCAGTATGGAGCCTGTGCAAAAGAAGGGCTTTTCTGGAAAATAACAGGTGTTCTATGTGCACTTAAGCTATTTTTAAATACAATTAGACATGTTTAGCTGATGTGTTGTTGGAGATGTCTATGATCAGAAAGTTGTCTTCAGGTTATCTGCAAGGCAAGGTTTGTTAATAAGTTTTATTTGACGACCTGATATAGCTGAAAAAAGGCAAGCGTTCAGGCACCTAAACCATTCCTCAAATAGTATTTCAGCAGCCTTATATGACAGTAATTTTAGTCAATTTTTAAGACAAGTCAGGTTGTCCATGCGTAGTTTAAAATGCAGTACCACCTAGATTATAACATTTTACTTTCTGTTTAGAAACTCCAGCGGTGCATGTTGGAAATGTTTTCGAGGCCATCACTTTGTTGGTGATAAAATGTCATTAAAGTCTCATGATTTGTGAGAGATCACTTGCCTACCTACCTATCCTGTTAACCTTGTTTTCCTCCCTGGTCCTTACATATTTCCAGGGTACTTGGCAGTGTGTACTTAAATCAGTATGTAATCATATTTTCCCAAGTTGGACATAAGAAAACTACACAAAGTGGTTATCAGTGTTGTATCAGATGATTTACCGCATTTCTATAATTCATTATTTTTATAGCATATTATTTTATACGGTACCTTTTAAGTGGCAGGCGACAAACAGCAGAGCAGATTTTTTCACACTTAGGAATGGAAACTTTGGCTTTAAGCAGCCTACTTCATTCAGAGCTTTTATCAGAGAAGTTGCTACTCCCTAAAGAAAGAAAACAGTTTTAGCAGACCATAACAGAAGTCTAGAACCAAAATATATTCAAAGCCTGATCCTGTTGTCATACAAATATAACAATACAGGATGATATCTAAGCTGGTGAATTGTAGAAGATAACAAATAATATAAAACAGGGAGGGAAGGGACCATGAATAAATTTTTACTTCATGTCTCAAAATGTAACCAGCTATCCTTAAATGATTCCAGATAGGCTCATGTCTATCCTGGTGTTAAAAATCAAAGCAAAATGTAATCTTACAAGATAAGATAAGCAAAATAGTCTGCAAATCCAT